CACACAAACACATAAACATACATGCACATATAAACATGCACACACAAACATACACGCAAATACACAAACACACCCAAACACACTCACTTACACACACACATATACACACAAACACATAAACACACATGCAAATTTAAACATGCACACACAAACATACACGCAAATACACATAAACACACCCAAACACACTCACTTACACACACACATATACACACAAACACATAAACACACATGCACATAAACACACATGCACATATAAACATGCACACACAAACATACACGCAAATACACATAAACACAGCCAAATACATACATATAAAAACACGCTTACACAAACACATAAATGCACATACACACACACACGCAGACACTCACACATACACTTGAACAGTCAAATAGACACACATACATGTATATACACACAAACATGTACACTAACAAGCACAGATGGATACACGCATAACACGCACAAACACAATCTGTGTGCTGCTACATGTGTGCTATATAAATAAAAACAGGCTGCAAGCATGTCTATTGTTTTATGTTTGAGCACTTGTGTTGTGATTTGTGTTCATTCGCAGAGTTCAGAGTCGATAAACCGAAGGCCGACGTACCCGTTGCCTCCTCCAAAAAAACCGGGACCACAGAGACCAGCGCCGCCGCCGTACGGTGAGAAAACCCCTGCTAACATCAAAGAGCTCGTGTGATTTACTGATTTAATTACCTGCTTCATCTGATAAGTGTGTGTGTGTGTGTGTGTGTGTGTGTGTGTGTGTGTGTGTGTGTGTGCGTGTGTGCGTGTGTGCGTGTGTGTGTGTGTGTGTGTGTGTGTGTGTGTGTGTGTGTGTGTGTGTGTGTGTGTGTGTGTGTGTGTGTGTGTGTGTGTGTGTGTGTGTGTGTGTGTGTGTGTGTGTGTGTGTGTGTGTGTGTGTGTGTGTGTGTGTGGTTTAATCATATAAGAATGTATTATGACGTTTATCTAGTTGATTGTATCATGCGGTGGAGAAGAACGAAATGAAGTGCTCATCATGTGGTGTGGTAATGTTATTAATATTAAGGGATTTCGTGTGCTGCATTCCTGAAATGAGATTCCTAAAATGAATATTGGATTTTATAATGAATATTTGATTTATGATTATTATTAAACATGTTTGTTTATCTGTAGCCAGCTCTAACTCGGTCCAGACTGAATGCTGAAATCTGGAACTCTATTTAAATGGTTGAAAATCCAGGTTGATTTCAGATTAAATTCAGCTGACAGAAAATAATTAATATATCTTTGATTTTTTAAAGCAAAATATAATACTTAAAATACTATAAAAGTGTTACTTTAATTTAAAAAATGGTATCATACACTGTAAAAAAATGCAGGGTTCCACACAATTCATTCATGTTGTCCCAACACAAATCGATTAAGTTAACTTTACACTTTTTTAACAATTTTATGTGGATTGAACATAAAAAAATTATGTAGTCCCAAATACATCTTAAGAATTGTGTTAATTCAGCTTATTTAAAATAAGTACTTTGAACAAGCAAGTATATTATATTATAATTATTATATTTTATTTGTTATATTATACTATTTTTATTATATTATACTATATTTATTATATTATACTACATTATACTATATTTATTATATTATACCTAATATATTTTATTTATTATATTATATTTTATTAGATTTTATTTATTATATTGTATTGTACTATATTTATTGTATTTTATTTAGTATATTATATTATATTTATTAGATTTTATTTGTTGTATTATATTATATTTATTAGATTTTATTTATTATATTATACTATATTTATTGTATTTTATTATACTCTATTTATTCTATTAAATTTATTAGATATTTTTTAATATATTATACTGTTTATTATAGTTTATTTATTATATTATATTATATTATATTATATCATATCATATTGTATTATATTATATTATATTATATTATATTATATTATATTATATTATATTATGTTTGATATTAAATTATATTGTGTCATCTTATATTATCATATTATACTATATTTATTATGTTATATTGTATTTTATTATATTTGTTAAGTTATGTTATAGAATTAAATATTAATTAGATATTTGTAAAATATAAAATATAAAAAAAAAATAAAAGAATAAACATTTAAATGTAAGGTTACCAGTTTTTGGTATTTCCTTATGTAAAATCGCATGCTGTTGCTTTAATTTGCAACACGATTTAAATCAGCCTTTAGGTTCGGTAGTCAGGCTCGCTCCTGTCGGTCCTCAATCGCCATCAATGCGTTTGTTTGGATTCAGGAATGCAATACCTAGTTCAACCACTGTGTGTCGAACTTGCATACTGCAGTTTTAAATTGTTAACATGTTCCTCTAGTATTTCTATTTAATTTTAAATTATAAAACCGATTTTAATAGTTTTAGTTTTAGATAACTGGTTGATTAAATCAGAACTGATTATTCCACAACAATTTAGTTGTGTATGATTCATAGAATCACAGACTTTTCTTCTATGCCTTAGGTTTTACATCCTGAAAAAAGTTATTGGATAAAATTTGTAGTTTTATCTATTAGTACACACACACACACACACACACACACACACATACACACACACACACACACACACACACACACACATGCACACACACACATAAACAAGCACAGTCTATTGACAATACTTTCCAATCTTGACAAACTGTGTTTCAGAGCTACGAGCTATTGTCTGCGGTAAAGCTTGATTAATATTGACATCATTCTTATGAATAATGCTTTGAGTTTTAATTTCAAACTCCTTGAGACATGAACCGCATTTCACAACCAACGTCAGATATTTCATAACACAGCCACCAAACTCAATAAGGCAGATCATGCACAGTGAGTCTGAAAAGGGAAAGTCGAGCACTTCTCCTTTTTTTTTTAGCGATATCGAAGTGCATCAGTGCGTTGTGAGCTGATCGTCGCACAGCTGTCACAGGGAAGATAAGAGGCGTTTTAGAATGAGATAATTGACCACTGCAGAGTCACGCACACAAAATGAAGACCATGCAAACATTTGCTGGTTTCAAACCTTTCATTTCTCTTCAAAAAAGATATTTGTCAGAATTTCCATGCTGCTCTTTTTCACAATGAAAACATATGCATTCAAATCTGAAATTGTTCACACCCCTGGCAAATTCTGACTTAACTTTTTTTGTTCAAATGTAAATAAAAGCTGAGAAATATTGTTTTTAATTACAGTGATGCCTCTTGTACATCATCTTATTATCTTTTAGGAGAAGCCTTGGTCGTTTCTGCTCCAAAAAAAAACTTGAAAAACTAAAAGGCAGTGATATTTACACAATTTACAGTATTTTTAATAAACAAATTAATTAATTAATTAATCAAAGCACGCTTGTCCCCCCTCCCGTCTCCCCCGACGGACGCGCTTACACCACAATCGGGCCTGGGCATGCTTACGTCATCGATGCTGCGCTGTTCAGTGAGAAGCGCTCTCTCACTCAGCAGCACAGTGGAGATTTCTCTAGTTTTATCGTGTCAGTCGTTTGATATGCAGTCAAATATTTCGCCAAACAGTCCTTAGGGATGCGGGGACACGCAGTCAGATATTTCGCCGAACAGATCCGCCACTTTTGGCGCTCATAAACGATCATAAAGCCCTCGGGCTGCAGGAATGAGGAGGTCTGCTGAAGGTGCAGCTGTTGTGTATTGAGGGGTTTGCGTCTTTAATAAACTACTGCAGTTTGCGTTCATTAAACCATAAGAATGGTTAATAAATCCATATGAAACAGTCCCTTAAAGTCACGTCTCGCTTTCAGTTTCGGGCTTTGGCTCGCCCAAGTGAACCGCACTCAGGCACACCTCTTCCAACCGTGCCAGGGCCGGCCAAGTGAACGGTGCATGAGCCCGATTCAGCGCACTCACACGTCTTAAACGATCTGGGAAATGGGCCTGGGCACGGTTCGGAGAGGATAGTGTGAGTAGGCCCTAATGCAACATTGGGGATAAGAAAATGGTTAAATAAACAATTTTTTTTTTTTTTCTTTTGACTGTCATTAGCTGGGTCTCTATTACTGTGTTAATGCACTTTTTGATAAACGGCACATTTCTTATAAAAATCCCTTAAAACGCAAAGGTATCTTGAGGTGCTTGCTTGAGGTGGATTTGGACTTGTGTGAAAAAATTGTTAACGCCATAATGGGAGATAGAAACAAATTTGACAAATCAACACTGACTTAGCGCATATATAGAGTGGAGGAACTATGACGTCAATTTGTATGCAAAAAAAACGGTAGCGAGTTAGCATTTTAGCAGTTCCGGTTCCCTCATCCCAAAGTCAATGGTTTTTTTTTAAAAGGATTTCGGTAAAATCGCTTAAATAAGGTTTGTGGCTAACACAGACTTAAGATACTTTCACGTTTTACTCTACGACATAAAATACACCAGTTACATCTCACTCTTGATTTTTTAAATCGGTTATTCTTCTTTAAAATGAAGGTTGCTATCAAGTTTGTTAATTGGGACTACAGGTGGTGTCGGAGACATACGTCATTGAGCTGAGCTGGTTTGGAGCGCAGCTTGCTTGTGTTGGGCATTTAAGTATTTTTATGAATAGTATTTTATAGTTTGTGATATTTTTCTAATCGGGAATTAATATTGTGTGTAGATAATGCCTTTACTTGTATAGACCGTCAGGACAGATTCATTTGTTGATGATTTATTTTAATTAAACCGTATTATGAAGATACTGCTGTGCAGCCTGCCTCTTTCCTCCTCTCAGTAATGCAAACGTGTGATAAAATGTGTAAAAATACACACATATTAACTGTCATTTTAACGTGGTCAAGTGATTTTTCGTTGGTTATTTCTTCATCTGAACACATTTAACTCTGTCAGAACTGCAATATTTACACTCCTCCATAAAATGTATAGCAGATGTGACTGTATGAGTTGCTTTTCCTGTACTTCGTGACATAAAGAGAATATTGAATGTTGTTCTGTGTCCCTGTCCCTCACGCCCCATTTCTGTCGTCTGTTTAGGTAAGCAGGCTGTGTGCACGCGAGCGATACACCTTTTTAAATATGTCTTATGATATGTAGGCACAATTATATATACAGTTTTAAAACTTTTACAACAACCGTAAAGCAAAACAGACGTATTTCCCACGTAAAAAATGATCCAAAAGGCACGTAGGTCTATGTGTTTTTGCGTATTTATTTGTTTATAATATATAGCGTGGATTATAATATAATAAACAGAGAGATCAACTCTTTGTCATGGAGCATATTTCTACAAATAAGCTAGAAAAGTTTGTCTGCAGCAGGGTGGTGCTGACGCGAGCGCCTCGAAAGCACTGTAGTCCGTTTATAGCCTAATGTTAGCTTTTCAGTTCTTGCGTTTGCATTTAAGATCCAAAAGTGCTCAAAGTTGTATTTTCGTGTGAGGATTATCCGGCTGGACAAAATCTGTAAGTGTAATGAACAGTGTTTGAACACAGAGCTTATTATTCGCAATCTTTGAAATGTATTAGGGGCTCTATTTTGACGGTCCATGCGCAGAGCGCAAAACGCAGGGCGCAAATGCTTTCAGGGCGTGTCAGGACGCGTTTTTGCTAATTTAAGGACGGGAAATCTGCCTTGCGCTTCGGCGCATGGTCTAA